GGCCGGGCCAGTCCATCAAGAGAGGAGAAGGCACGTGCCACTGGGCCAGGAGCCAACTTAGGTCCAAGGCCAGAAGGCCACTAATGGCCGTGGAGAGAGGCAAGGGGCAGCCTTGGGCCTCAGAGGTGGGCAGTTCCTGAGGGTGGCTGGAGGGAGTCCTAGACGGACCAGGAGACTAGGGTGGGTGGGCAGGATGTGCTGACTCTGGAAAGAGGGGAGGGTGCGGAAGCGGCCATGGGGGAGGCCAGGTGAGGAAGGACCAGGTAGAGCTTGACCGGGCAGAGCTAGGTCACGAGTCCCGCACCAACAGCCACACCGGAGCGGCAGGACAGGCGGCGCTCCTCACCATACAGCTGGGTGAGGGCTGGTCCCCAAGACTGAGCTGACCTACAGGCCCCGTTGTGAGTGGTCAAGAGATTCAAGGGCAGAGAGCCAAGGGTGTCTGCATTAGACAAGACAGCCTGGACTTGGACTTCTCCCTTTCAGCCACATGTGCTCAAAATGTCCTTGCTCCTCCCCAGAGCCTCAGTCTCCACCTCTATCTGTCGGTCTACCTTTCTTCTCTCCCCAAGGCCCGTTCTCTTATCTCCTCCCTCCCTGCTTAACTCTTGGCCTTGTTTCTTCTAATTCTGCTCTCCAGGGCCACTGTGTGAGTGTGTCTGTGTTTGTGTGGGTGGGGTGGGGTGGGGTGGGGTGAATGCCCCCAGGTGCCTGCAGTGGGGAGAGATGGGGGAGGAAGCCATCTCTCCTGCTCGCTCCCTCCCTGGCCAGCTGAAAATGTGCCATGTGACCATCCAATCTAATTAGCTGAAAGCTCAGTCTTGACAGAAGGAGGCTTTAAAAAACTCTCTAGCTTTCCTGGCTCTCAGCCTCTTGAATGAGAACGAAGAAGATCCTATTGCAGGGAAGAGGAGTCCCGGCTCCCGGTTCCGCTGCCAGGGGCAATCAGCTGCAAGCAGAAACCTCCATCTTGAAAATGCCAAGCAGCATGAGAAAGCCCGGGCTCCCGAGCACAGCGTCGCAGGGCTCCAGCCCGGAGGGAACCTCGGTGGCAGCTGCCCAGAGCCCCTGCCAAGCATATCAGGAGAGCTGGTGGTGAGAAAGGGCTGCCCTCCTCACCCAGCCTCCCCGAGGTCTCCTGTCGAGGCCCCAGGCCCAGCTCCGCTGCCTGCAGGCTCCTCCTTGCAGAAGCGCTCACCTCTCAGGGTCGACACCCAGACCTGCCTTCCCCAACTCCTGGCCTCACAGGCCCCACCGTGGACACCAGGCTCCCCTCCCATCCAACTCCCCTGGCCCTGCCACTGACCAGTGTCCTGGCCCTGGCTGTGCTGTGAGGACACATCAGAGGGACACCAGTGGCAGGGAGAGCACAGGTCAAGCCACTCAGATGACCTCCTGAGTGGCACAGGACACAATTCTCCCAACAAGCCCTGCAAGCTCAACCAGAAAGGCCTGTGGGAGGAGACGGCATCACTTAAAACTCCACAACTATGCCCACCTGCTCCCCTCGACCCCTGCCAATCTGATTCTGTCACCGTCAAAATGTTAAACCACAAAACCCACTCAGGGAGGGGCGCTAGCTAAGCTCATCTCCTCCAGCCACTGTCCTGTCCTCTCTGCCCTGGTGACACTTGTCCTGCTCCAGCTCTGGAGGTGTAGGAAGATCTGGGTCAGGAGTGCAGTGCACCCAGAGTCCACCGGGCTGGACAAATGCCACTCTGGTCACTGTGGCCTAATGGGAGGCAGCAGGCAGGTAGGAAGGCCGGTGGGCTGCCCTGGGTGGGTGGCCAGGCCTGGATGGACAGATGGCTCCAGTCTCAACTCCAGAAGGAGTTCTGCCTTCTGGAAGGACAAACAGGGACACGCAATGTCACCAGCAACCACCATCCAAGCCAAAGGCAGAGCCCTGTCCACGTCGCCCAAACAACTGAGCATTCAGGCCTCACGCCCAGAGCCCACACACACATCCACATGCACGCACACCCGGGTGTGATCAGCTGGCCTTTACTTCCCAGAGTGGTTATCATCTCTTTACACTTGGAGTTGTAAGCCTTTCACTTGCTGGTCACATGACCATGGGTGATGAGCTCACACAGCCAAATAGTTAAGCCTCCCACTGGTGGGGTTGACAGCTCAAAACCACAGCATAATTTTTAAAGCGAATTGTGCTTTTCCTATTGGGATTTTTTTTCCCACATCAATGACTGATGACCACATGCAAATTCCTGATGAAAAATGTGTAACCCAAGTTTAACCGGAGCCCAAAATATTTGCCAGAAGTTGTTTCAGGGGAAACAAAATGTCAAATTTATTTCCTTTGGCAAAAATTATGTACAGAGAAAAATTGTAGAATTGTAAGATGTTATGGTCAAATTATAATTGTATACTTTTTTTTATAAAAACAATAACCAAACTAGTATCGAATGAATTTCTTTGATCCCATTGACAATATCAAAGAATAAAGGACTCTCAAGTAAAGAAACCAGAGTCTCATTTTTTTAAATTTCCAAAGCTGGATCTTAGGCATTTGCTAATCTTTGATAGTTTCTGCTTTATTTCCAAGGGGGTTTACATGCCCACCTCCCACCCAATGTCATCAATAGCTGACCTTTAAAAATTAGCTGGACATTTGTCCTGCTTTCCTATTAGGCCAGCATGGCCAAGGACACAGAACACCAACTTCAGATGAGGCAGACACTCACCTGCCCTCTGGCTAAAAATAGCTGTCTGCGACTCAGGGATGGCAAGCATTCTCTGCCTGCGTATGAGCCTACCACACCCCTCGGTGAAGGAGGCAGGCGAACCTCACCCCAAAGGGCAGTCTCCACTTCACCAGCACGGGGTGCCCAAAACCTCTGCAAACATTACTGGCTGAGATGGCTTCAATCGGTTAAAAAGAGATCCGTGAGCACCCCAATTCCCAGCATAAACTGCATAGTGGTTTGTGCACAACCCAACTGAATCACAGTTCGGGGTTGAGGACCCTGGAGACACAGGGCTCGAGAACATTCCACAGACCTTAGCCTCAGCCTCCTCTCTCCTTTCATCTTTGTGGCACCATGAACGTATTCTCAGTGATGCCACGACAGTGACCTATTTGAATCCCAGGTGTCTGCTGTGCCGAGGCCAAGCGTTCCGCAGGTGTCCTGTGCAAGGCGTCGAGGCAACCGACACTAAAACAACTCTCCTTGCTGAAAAACGTTCACAAACCATCTTCACTGCTTGAAGCAGTTTCACTATATTGTAATTATCATGTTGCCTTGTAATTATTCACTGTGTGAATGTGACTCTGTCCCCCCCACACCCCCTACCCCACCAGATATGAGCCCCTGCAAAGCCCTCCCCTCACCCTGGTGCATAAAGAAACCCAGCAATTTGGGTGGAATTGAGCGAATTTGACCGGAAGCTGCTGTGTCAAAAATGTCTTCTTTCTTGGATCCCATCATGACCCCCCATAACTTAAATAAATTATATTTAAGTGGTTATTCAACAAGGCCTCTCATGCATCTTGAACATCCCTTTTAGGCCCCTGTGACTGACCATATTAAATCAATGCTACGTGAGCAGCAAGCAGTCATGGTCGGGTACACGTGAAAGTTGGCTCCTTGCATGTCTTCTGAACAGTCACAAACAGGAATTAGTGACCCCAGTGAGGAGACTCTCTGTGGCAAATCTCACATTAGAATTGAGTGAGCATGTGGTGTGCTTCGCTGAGTGGCTAACACGAAGGGGTGGTCTTTGAACCTGAGTTCTCTGTCCCCACGTTCTGGCTCGTGCCTCCAAGAAGGATAAAGCTTTAGGGGCAACAGTTTGGGTAATGACTTTCCACCCGCTGACACCTGTCCTGTCATTTCAGGCCAGAGGCATATAGTAACAACCATCCAGACACCTGGCCACAGTCTCCTTCCTGAAACCAGTGAGTGATTGGCCTGTTCTGTTTCATTGTACGTGGCTCTCTCACCTGCTACCCCAAACTATGGCCATTTGATTAAAGCCAAGCCAGGAAGTGAAATATCTACCTGGGAGACCCCAAGCATGTGAAAGATAACCAGGCAACAATAAGGAGAAAGATGGTTGTGGCCTTCTTCCAAGTTTACCAACCTTTTTATCGAGAAACAATCAGAGGCCCTGCTTCACGTATCCGTGTACGCGGAATGTTAACCTTGAGACGTGTGAACGAAGCCGGCACGGGAAGGAAATGACAGGTGTGAGGAGGGCAGCACAGGGCCTGCTAAGAGTAAGGACGCACTCACCTGAGGCATGGTGTCGGCAGGGAAGGAGAGCGTCCCTGGCGCACAGAGCGGGAAGCCCCATGGCGCAGAAGGGTAAAAATAGCCATTTGCTCATTAAGTCAGCCTTCCATCACGATTTAAGTCTCTGAGGATCCCTGACCGAGCGACTCCCCAGCAACAGGAGCAGACACTGTCATCTGTGCTGAGCAGCTGCATGAGGACCAGGGCCCCAAAGCCCACCGTTCTGGGGACACAGGAACTTTACGTGGAGGACCAGACCCGAGCCCTGGGGGATCCCAGTGAAATGCAAGTCCCCAGTGCGATGCGGCCTGTAACCAACGGCGATCTCACCCGGGACAAAGGATGACACAAGGGGTTCACAGGCAGCCACGGTAACACTCCTTGCAACTTGGAGACGTGCTACAGTCAAATCCCAGGAGTCGGTCTGGTTTGGTAGGTGAAATCTTAAAGGCCTACCAGGGTGGTGAAAAATTGCTGATCACTGTCAACCTGCCGGTTGTTTTCTTATTTGTTTGTTTGTTTTGATTTTAGAAGCAAACTCCTCAAATCTATAACGCAATCGAAACCAACTGAGTCAAGTCTGACCCACAGACATCGACACTGTAAAGAATTGCCACCATGTTCCGGGACCGTCCACAGGCCTCGGACGGAGGTGCACCCATCTGCCCAGACCCAGCTGGCGCTGAGCATCCCAATCCTGAGCCCTCCAAAGGTCACAGTCAAAGCAAGGAACCCGGCTGTACTTACGCAGGGCGTGCCACTCATCCTGCCGGATGGTCTTGGTGATGTTGAAAGTGAGGTTCCTCGGGATGGTGGCTGAGGAGTAGTGGTATTTGATGTAGGTGCACCGCTCGATTTCTCCTGGCAAAGACAGATGGGAAACCAAGTGTTAAGGAGGCGGCCGTCATCTGGGGGCCAGTTTTGGGGATCCACTCTTCTGTCCAGGGAAAAAGGACTGGATTTCTATGGAGCCTGGTGATGCCTACAGTTTATCCAAGGCAGTAACACTAACTCCAAAAGAGCAGGAGAGTCTAACTAAAATCAAACACCATCAACTTAGGGAGAAAAACACATCTCTGGCATCATTCAGAGGTGGGGAGAGCCACTGTTTAGGCTGACAGCGTGCGAAGAAAGCAGTACCTATGCCCATTTAATTCAGAAAACTAACTTTCAAGTCAAGACATCAAAAGACATGAACAGTTTGCACCCTACACCAACAGAGCGAGCTTTGACCTTCAAGAGGTCATCTGTGCTTATAACACGCGCGGTCTTACGGAACGCTGAGCTAGATGGGGCCCCTTCGCCTTTCTCCATCCTGCCATTGCACCTCACCCCTGAACACCAAGCACTCAGATCAAGCTGTGTCTCCTCGAATCAGTCTCTTCCCAGGTTTCCTGGACAAAATTAAAGCCCTGAACACACTTGACACCTGGTCCAGTGGGGCCTTCACTGATAAGTTCTTGTTTATTACCCCATGCCTGCTTTGCGGGTCAGCTTCTCAAAACATTCCTAGCTCTTACAGCGGACGTTCTCGAAGGGTGGTTGGGGGACCCCAGCATCAGCATCACTCTGGAAATTGACCAGAAATGCAATTTCCTGGGCCTGGCCCCAGACCTACTGAATCAGAAACACAGAGGTCAAGACCGCAATCTCAAGCTTAATAAGCCCTCCTGGTGATTCTGTTGCACACTTAAGTTAGAGAACCTCTGCCTTTAAGAAGCTAATAGAATTGCCAAAGTATTAATTCATAAATCCATCATGTTTGCAAATTCCAACAGGAGGGCATGATTAGTTCTTCCCTTGACAGTTTTTGTCCCCACAGGGATTTCTATCGATGCTTGCTTATCTGAGGGATATCACAATTCAGTGTCAGGGCATGGGGAAGAACCAGGAAAAGAGTGATTTTTAAAGGCTAGGGGGTTTAAAATTTGGTTTTGCACCTGAATGGATTTTGATGGTAATCCATTTTGCACCCCACTGATTTTCAATTTATAAGTGGTGGCACCTGATTGAATTGTTTGACCCCTGGGCTCACTGTCAGCAGGGGGCCCGGCAATTGGTGGAGGGCAGTAATCTAGACCCGAAACTGATGCCTTATTGTAAATCATACCTGGATAACAGCCCAGCTGCCGGGTACCAGCAGACACCCCTCCGATGGGCCCGATGCTGTCCACAGAAGCAAGGTTAGGGGAAGGCGTTACATGCCCTCTTTCCCTTTTGTCTTTAATTTTTCTAACCCTCTGCTTCTGTCCCCTTAGCCTGCGAGCATTCTGAAGTCTCTCACATGCCCCCAGCAGTCCCCCTGACCAAGTCCTACCCTGTCTTCCTCCTCCCCTAACTCGCTATACTTCCAGGGGAAAGTGGTCTGCCAGACGGGTCTCCGCCTCAAGTCACGCTCATGCTTCAAGCCCAAACGCTCCATCGCGGTGACTAGCACGACCCATCCCCCCATCCAGTCGACAACACCCGAAATCCCACAGGCACCCCGAGGCCGCCCTCTCTGGAGGGGTGCCCTCCTCCCCGACACCCAACTCGTCACCACATCCTGTCAGCTCTCCCTCAGAAAGGTCCATGGACCCAGCTCTCCCCTCTGCCCCGCTCCGAATACAAGGATGGACATCAACGAGCAGCCATGCTCACTGAGGACTCACTAGGTAGGAGAGCCTTGCCAGGCACTGTGTGGACTGGTGGTCTCCACCTCGAAGCGTGGGAGGCCCCCGGGATGAACAGCTGTGGCCGCTGCACCCCACCCTGCCTCCCTGAGCCCCGAGGGAACTGACAGCCACTCACTCGAAACCCATTCGGGTCCTGTACTCACTCCACCAGCAGGAGCTCTGTTACGAATATCATCTTACCCAATCCTGCATACAGCCCAGCTAAGTCAGCATCATTAGGATGGGCACCCCAATTGTGCAAATAAGAAAATGGAGGCTCGAGAAGATTCGCTGACTTGCCCAAAGGAAGCAGCAGCTCCAGATGAGAACCCAGAATTGTCCGACCAGAGTATCCCTCCACGCAGCCTCCCGCCATGCTGCTGCCTGGAGAACATTCCAGAAAGGAAAACGTCGTCTTCACACCCATGGCCCCCCCACGCTCCTCAGAAAGTCCCAGTCCCCACCCCAGCTCCCCTTCAGCCCAGCGTCACACACCTTGGGCTCCAGCCAGGTGGCCCTTCCCACCTCTGCCCTGACTGTGCCCTGCTTGCCCAGGACTTGGCACCTCCTCTCCTCCCTGCCTTTCCTTGTATGATCTCCATCTCATCCTAAGACACAGGTGGCAAACACAAGGCCCACAGGCCAAACCTGACCCTCCACCTTGTTTTATCCGGCCCGGCCCCTTGTTTCTACCTGGCGGCAGGGCCGAGCTCCTTGCCCCTAGTTAAGGAGTAGTTACGTTTATACAGTCTTAAAATTGTATTCGGCCCTTTGAAGGCAATGGCGAGGCTGATGTGGCCCCCGGTGACAATGAGTTGGACACCCCTGTCCTAAGAGAAGCCCCCGGGGCAGCTCCGCAGCAGGCCTTCCCCGCATCCACCGCACTGGGCAGCAGGTATCGCCCCAGCCCCTCCCTGCCTCCCCTGCTCCCGTCCTGCGGCAGCAAGCACACCAATGGACTGTGATTTATCTGTTTACATGCCTCACTCCCCCGCTAGATTATGAGTTTCTCAAGGGCAGGGACTAGGCTCATCCATTCATCTTTATCTCCTCAGTTCCCAGCACAGAGTGAGCACCAGTAACACACACTTTGAAAAAAAATGACTAATATGAGGCACCCCTCAGAACACCACAGTGGGCAAGGGATCCTACTGCTTCTATTACATGCAAGAGATTGAAATAATTGAGGCAAATTCGAATACAATGGATAAAGGGAGGTGGCGGGCGCAGAACTCTGGGAGCCCCCAGCAAACACTCCTTCCCTGGGTGGGAACCGTAAGGAGAAGCTTGCCAGCCACGGTGAGGGAGAAGGAACAGCAGGTGCACAAAGCAGCCTCCCACTGCACCCCGTGACTGTAAGCCATGGGGCAAAAAGAAAAAAGGAAGAAATAAGATAAAAAAGGATAGAGGATATTAACAAAAACACCAGCGGCAACTACCTTGGCCATGTGCCACCCTGGCCGCGTACCAGGCCCTGCACAAGGACACCCTGCAGATGCCTGGGTGCTGAAATCCAGTGGCCACGCTGCGACCTGCCGAGGTACGGGGACGTGCCCTGCCAGAGCGACTGACTTAGTCTAACTTGCACAAAGGTTTCCTACAAATGAGCAGCTGCCCCAGGCTCAGTAATTTCAAGATCAAACCGAACACTCCTGCTCCTAGCTTCGGAGACCCAAATCCCACGGGTCACAGCAGATGCGCACCTACCACTAATGCCTGAGAAAGATACCTGACTTTATTATTCTTTCTTTCCTAACTTCAGGTTCTGTCTGTGTCAAAACAAACTCGACACATGGCCACAGGTTCCAGGAGTGCTCCCTGGGCCTCGATGCCCCCAGCACATGCCGCAGGAGCAAGTCGACACCACCAGGCCCCTCGGTGGCCGGCCAGGGAGCCTGGCTGGTGCCCCTGCCACGGCGCAGCCCCACTGGAGGCCTCACTATTTGCTTTGCCTCGGGATGCAAGCATCCTGCCTTGACAGCAATTAAATTTGAAAGACTCAAATATTGCCTGAGAAGAAAGGCAAAATGTTTATCCATGTGGCTGCGGGTCCTGTCAGTGTGCTGGGCTTTTGTAAACACAAGCACCATCTGGGCACCAAATTCGTGGGCCCGGAATGTGGGCTTCCCAGCGCAAACAGGTTTCTCTGCTACGCTCGGTGCAGAAGGGCCACCTGGAAGGCAATGGTGAAGCCCTGGGCCTTACCTGGGGAGAACACCAAACTGGTCTTCCAGACTCCTGTGTTCCCGCCCAGGGACTGACTTTGCCCTCGGGAGGCCTCAGCTGGGGGGGTGGAGGGGGGCTGGAGGGACATGGGGGTGCAGGACACCTTACACCTTCAGCCATGCTCTGCCTTCTGAGCTGGTGACCCTCCTGCATGTCAGAGTCCCAAGATACCCAAATGGGTAACTGGGGAGAGCTTCAGAAAGGGACAAGTTTACAAAGCTGAGCACAGGGTGTAGAGAGACCAGCAGAGGGTGGCACAGAGACCTGGCGCCACCAACAGGAGCCGAAATAACCCAAAGGTGCAGAGAAGGAAGCTGTCCCCTGAACCTGGAGAGGGTGGCCTTGAAGAGCGGTGATGCAGCCTGGGGCAGGGGCTCGCAGCCCACCTGTGGCGAGGTGGCAGTGCGCAAACCCCTGACTCCTCTCACCTTCATCTCCTGCCTGTTCCCCCCACGGCCAAACCCAGCTGGAAGCCAGAGGGCAGCCCAGCCTCCAGGAGCAGAGAGGAGGCGCAGGGCAGGGCCTGGATCCCAGGGGCAGACCCAGGCGCCCAGCTCACACCCCTCCGAGGCTGGAAGAGCAAGAGCACAGGTGCACACCAGACAGGCAACTGCACGGAGCCCGGGAGGGGAGCCACCAGGGTGGGCCCCAACCCTGAAGTCTGGATCTGAGCACACCAGACAGCGACAGCAGCAGGTGGTTTTCCATCCCGTGCATCCACGGTCAGTGACGCGTGGTGTCCGGAGTGCTGAGGGGATAAGTCTGCTACTCCAGGGCTGGAGAGTCGGAGCAGGAACAGTCTCAGGCAGAGTGACTTCGGAGGCAGCGCTGGGAGCCACGCCCTCTCCATCACAACTCCTCTTCCCTATCGGGCGCCGTAGTACCTTAAACGCTTCCATTAGAGAGTCGTTCCTTGGGGACGGATGTTGTTCTCTTAGGCACTGTGTTTAAAGCTCTGTAAAGTAAGTCTGAAGGGGCGGC